TCGGCTGTGTAGTGTTTAGCTGCCTGCCGGGTTAAACCACAATATTGTGGGAATGAATCTCAAATCTCCGAAATGGATTACATGTCAAAGGCTAACTTATGCCCATAAAACATGCAGGAAAGCAAGAAATTAAATGCAAAGTACATACATGGACACAGCAAGATTTATCCCTCCATGTTTAAAAAAGTTTTTGTAAGTTTGTCTAGTAAGTTACTTTTGCTAGACCTATATACAGAAAAGTAGCTGCAGATGAGATTCCTTCCAATAAAACCACAGTTCCTCAACCTCACTAGTTACTATTCTGAGAGGAACAGAAACCTTTCAGAGAACTGCTGACTTTCCACTGTTAGGATCAGGCCTTTCCTTTACACGTGCTAAGTTACACGTACGTGTTTCAGAATTTGTCCCTCACTGTCAAAGCAATAGTTGTTCAAAGTAAAACAAAATAAAAAAGCCAGAGAAACACAAACATGCTCAGAAAAATGGAAAAAAGAATACTGCATCCAACTGACAGGTAGTTCTGAGAGAAAAATACAACTTATTCAATCACTTTTGTTTTCTTCCACTGTTTTCTAGGCTTTAGCTGAAGGTTCTAACAAAACCTGATGTTAGCTGACTCACAAAACTTACTGAAGTTGCAAGCCAGGGTGATATGGTTGTAGGAATGAAATAATTACACACTTAATTATACATTAAAACAAACAAACAAAACCACACCAAAAAAACCCAATCCTCATTAAAAGAAGGAAGAAAAGCATGAAATAAAGAAGTTCATTCATGTTGTATAAGAATACACTTCATTGTACACACTTGATGTAGGAACAGAATTTTATTCATTTTAATTCAAGAAAAAAAAATCAAGACAAGCTAAACATAATAGCTTACTTAGCATGCTTTCTCTATTATCTTCTGTGTGCCTTTTTCCTCTAGTAGTCCATCTACTTAACACCTTTTGTACTTGGCAAGCAAACGATGGATGTACTTCTTAGACACATGGTGCACATTAACCGAACTACATGGAATTTTAAGCAGAAAATGCGTCTAAAAAATAGTGTTATACAGCCACGTGTTTTATAAAAAGCAAATGCCATCATGCCAAACTGGGCTTAATCCTTTCTCCAGATATAGAGCATACACAACTGGATATCTTTTCCATAGCCTTTAAACAGAAGTCCAGTACATAGCAACTAATTCCACATCCGAATGCAAAACTGGTCCCACTATTTATTTGTTTTAATAAACAAAGAGACTGAGAGAACTATTTGGTTTTTTTGGACAGAAGCAGATTGCACTAAGGGCCATGATTTGCATATCATTAAGAGAATAGCATCCCAAGGAACAACAACAAACCCCAACAGAAATACATACCTTGGAAACTTGTGCACATCGACACAAAGTAACTATGTCCAAGAAAGAAAATATTCTAGGAAGAAAGGAAAAGAACAACAATCAAAATGTTTTATTATAAGTTCAGATTAATACATGGATTCACGGTTCTGTAGTTCTATGGAAATACACCAGTTACACAAGAAGCAAGTTAAATGCAATACGAGTGTTTTACCAAATTATTTTGCTTGTTGAGACTTAAGGAATAATATAGCTATCATCTAAAGACAGTCAACACCAACATATTAGAACCAGCAGGTGCTTCTTCTGAAAATCTATTTTCTGTTTCTCCTTCCTTACTACCCAAACACGTACAAATGATAATAAATTTTTATTTCTTCTTTTTAATTCAGAGAAACTAGCTTATATACCTTTAACTGTGCTACAATTAAAGAAGTAACTTGCACAAATACAGGTGAAGATTTCAAAGGCCGGTGAAGAGTAAGAAATGGAAAACAACACATAGATAAATCCAAGTTCAAGAATCTAAGTACTAACACAAACAACGACCCAAATTTCTAAAGGGGTTTCACAGTGACTACCAAGTCTAACAAGTATCTTTTTTTAATTTACTCTACAAGAAACAACTACAACTGAAAATTTAGCATTACTATTCTGATCATGGAATGAATTCCTCAAGGCTGCCAACTCTTAATAGTTTTCCGAAAGAAATTTTTCACTGTCAAAATGAATTTTGCTAAATACCATTTCCAAACAACAATGAAATCGGTTCAAAGGATGTTCTCAGCGAAAAAAAAATCATCAGCTTAAGCATAAAATATAGATCCTATTCCAAAATCATTTTCTATTACAGAGAATGAAAGATATGAAATATATGAAAGATGTTACTGTAATTCACTTATAAACTGTTACCTGCTCGCCAATGAACTTTTTCAGTTATCAAAACAATGAACAGTAATAGTAACAATTTCATCTTGTAGTGAGATGTTAACACTGAGGAGCAAACACAACTGGTAAGAGATGCTGAACTTAATCATGTAAAATTCTGGTTACTACTTTCCAAGTGGAAATCTGAAGCTAGAGCTCAAAATAGATGCCTACATCTTAAGCGCTGTGATTTTTAGCTGTGGTAAGAGTCAAAAAATGTAATGCAAGTTAATGGAAGTACTTAAACATAACAGCCTCCTGCATGTTTATTATGATCACTTCAGATATTATTCTTCCAATAGTTCATTAACACATGAAAACACTTTCTCTTTTTCACTGTACAGTAATACATTTTTTCAAAAAACCATCAGCCATGCAAACAGAATGACAGACATTCTCAGAAGCTATGAAACAATTTATAAAACCCTGTCAATAACATTCATTTTGATAGCATCTATTTTGTCATTTGAACATCCATTCTGAGGTCTGCCCTCTTTAAGAAACTTAGCAGTGTTTTATGCACAAAGTACACAATGTGCTCAGCAAGATTGCTGGACTGTTCCAATGAGCACTGGAAGCGTTCTCTCTCATTTAAGAGCAGCATTTATACCAATGACCCACCATGAACCCTCTTATGAAGTCACCCTTCCCCCTGACATGAGGCAAACGACAGAAGATGAGAGTGTGGAGATCATGGTAGAGAGCTGCAAAAGCTTCTTGGCTTGTAGAAGCTTCCTCATAGTACCACTGTATGAGTGGAATCAGAGGGTAATGTCAGATTTACTGAAGCTGAAGCACAAAAGACAGATTTCTATGTTATTTATAACGAAGAAAGGAAAAGTTGTGACAAACCGTTTCATGATACAATACTCTCGCCTAAATGAAGAATGTGACAGGCTTTGGAAATGATGTATCAAGTTCTACTGAAAGTAAGAAATAACAGAAGGAATTGTAAGATGTTGAAGAAAGGGTATTTTATATACCCCCACTATTCTGAGCTGTCTGGCAGTCTGTCTTCATGTTTGATTGTTTATTGCTATTACGAGATTAATGTTGATGTGTGATTTCTGTTAAAAAAGTAAATTAAAACCAAATGCAGAACAGATGTATTTATTTTTGCTCCATTCTGTATGAAGTGACTTTTTAAGAAGTCAAGAACTAAAAGTGGTCATTCTATGTTAAAAGGAGAAATATTTTATTAAGTGTAAACATTCATGATGCTTTTAGGTTTTTTATTTTTGTTCTAAAGAAGAAACTTTCTTGCAAGGCAGCCCAAGCTGTCCCCATCAAAATACATAACAACATTAGGACGCATTATAACCCAGCAAAATCAGAATGATTATTATTCACAATTAAATACTATGATAGGTAAGAGATACCAGTAAATTCTTTTACAATTCCTAAGAGTCATTTTGCCAACTTGCTTGAAAACATTTTTTCCACGCTTTTCTATTTATTTACCCTCTATAGTACAGTCTTACATGCAAACCACTAACATACACTTGCTTCTCTACTTGCAGCCCCGCAGAAGTACTAGCAAATACTTACCAGTCAGGGAAACTAGCCAAAAAGACACAAGACTAAGGTTTAAAGCCATTTAAAGTCTTTAAGAGACTTTAAACGCAACCAACAAACTGAGATGGAGATGGCAACACTGACATTGTCAGTCATCTGTCAGTGTCAGACACTGACGTTGTCTGGCGCTTAGGGTGAAGGACTATGTCAGCAGGCACTTGTAATTTTAAAAAGCGGATAAAACTACCAAGTAGGGCAGCTGATGGTTGTATAGCACTTCTGTCCTCTATGACCATAGCTACGTTGATGGACACTAATGCAGCCAGCAGCAGGACTAACTTCCACTTAGTCTTCGGCATGGATTAGTACAGGGAAACTGGAAATTAAGTTAATAGATCCACAGTAAAGTTTAGGATCATCTATTCTGACTTCCTGTATCCCAGGCTATTAAAATTTCCATAGTTATCCTGTCTCGAGCTCAAGAAGGAGAATCTGCTTACCAATAATCAGAGCTCTTCAAGACTTCTCATCCCTAGGCACTTACCACTCTGGACACAAGCCTCATGAGTTTGGCCTTGGAGATCTTTCAATGTTAACAGTACCTGCAGCACTCGTGAGCTTCATGCCAAAGGCACAAAGGGTTGTACAAGCTCACAGTTCCTCAACTCCTTATGGTAAACTTGTATTTGGCTAAAGCCTAACTTCCAGAAAAGGATATATTCTTGATCTGAAAGCCTTCAAGAGATGGAAAATCACCACTTTCCCTGGTAGTTTGTTCCACTGGTTAATCACTGTTAAAATGTTTGCCTTATTTCCAAGGTGAATGTCTGACTTCCAGCTTTATGCTTTTTCCTACTTTTCTTCACCACATTAAGGAGTGCTTTAGCAGTTAGTACTTTCTCCTTGTCGAGTTTTAAAGCCACTTATCATGTCATCTTTAATTCTTCTTTTTAACAATCTTTTTTAGTTCTTTAAAGCTCATTTTCTCTGCACATTTTTCATTTTTCCAGTATGTTTCTTCAAATGTAGACATCAGAAGCACGTGCAGCATTAAAAAAATTTATCAGTATCAACAAAGCTGTACACAGACATAAAGTATGATTTCACTACCCCCATTTTCAGAGCCATTTCAGGCCACTGTAACAGCCTTTTTGACACAGCATCAGACAAGAATCTTACAGTATCTTACCCATTTCACCCTCACATCCTCTTCTGAGAGTACACACTGCAGGCCACAGCTCTTTCTGTAGCATTCCTTAGTCCTGTATATCTAGCCACATGAAATTAATCTGTAAATTAATTAAAATCTTGCTTGAACACACCTCAATTTATCATGTTATTCGGACTTCCTTAGGAGTGCCTTGTCTTCAAAGTAGTTTACCATACAGTTCTTTTTGTGTCATCTATAACTTTTACCTCCAGTGACTTCTGAAGCAGTGATTTCCAAAGCATTAAATTAAAAAAATAATACAAAAAAAAAAAGAATGATATTGGGCCTAATGTCAATTGCTGCAACAACTGTTAACCAATCCTGAATCCCTTTAACATGCACTGATATACTGCACACAGAGTGCTACTTTTAAAATGAAAAGGTCTCATGTTAAAGTCAAATGCCTGGGTAGAAACATGTGATTTTGGTTGGTAAAGCCAACCGATTGTTTACTCTCAAAGAATGATATTGTCCAATCACTTACCTTCCACAAAGCCACAACAACTGTCAGCTATATTCCTCTCTCCCAATTTTCTATCAAACAAATCTATGGCGAGTTTTTCTACTGTATACTGAATATGAGGCTGAGTTTTCCCGTCATCTCTCCCTTGCCTAATAAAAAGTGTTACACTAGTCTTCTGGAATTTTCTTGATACCCCAGACTCACCAAAACTCAGCGTAAGAGGGCCACAAACCTCCTAAGTCACCTTTTTAAGGCATTTTCACTGCAATTTATATGGTCCTGCCAACTACAAGAAGTGATGATCTACAATCTCTATCATCTCCCCGTATATTTCCACACATGCTTCATTATTCCCGTGTGCTATAAACAGACTGCCCTGTGTCTTTCCAAACTAACTGACTCCTAATATTTTGTTTCCCTCCCTATGGAGCCACGGAAAGAAACAGCTGTTTCTCAAAACCCTAACACTGTGCAGCGTACCACCTACAGAGTGAGAAATCAAACTGTGCAAGAGTCAAACTGCTTCCTTCTCACCTTGGTAAGGCCCTTCCCAATTTGATCACGTAAGGAATAAGCTTTGCAGTAATGGCCTGGCAATTACTTATTTTAAGTATTTTGATACAGTACTATATGGATTGATAAAAAGTGGATAACAAAATGCATACAGTAAGTACCACAAACACATACTGTGACTTCCTGGAATTTTTGGCCCAAACCCCAAAATTTGGTATGACAGAAGTGCCCGGTAATTTCTAAAAAGCTTCAGCAATAACATAAGTTAGAGTTTTTTTAAATAACTGACTTGAGAATGGAATTCTATTTCAGAACTTCTATTTTTCACATCTTTTAAATTTATAGTGGTTTTGCACACAAAGAATGGTGACAAACTATCAAAATCAACATAAGAAGGACAAGAAATGCCTGACTGAAGGCAGCACATCATCTAGATAATCTGCTCAGA